TCATGCCATTCTCTTCTGGCCTGTAAGGTTTCTGTTGAGAAGTCTGATGATAGCCTGATGGGTTTTCCTTTGTAGGTGACCTTTTTTCTCTCTCTGGCTGCCTTTAATACTCTGTCCTTGTCTTTGATCTTTGCCATTTTAATTATTATGTGTCTTGGTGGTGTTCTCCTTGGGTGCCCTGTGTTGGGAGTTCTGTGGGCCTCCATGGTCTGAGAGACTATTTCCTCCCCCAGTTTGGGGAAATTTTCAGCAATTATTTCTTCAAAGACACTTTTTATCCCTTTGTCTCTCTCTTCTTCTTCTGTTACCCCTATATTGCGAATATTGTTCTGTTTAGATTGGTCACACAGTTCTCTTAATATTGTTTCATTCCTGGAGATCCTTTTATCTCTCTCTGCCTCAGCTTGTCTGTATTCCTGTTCTCTGATTTTTATTTCATTAATGGCCTCTTGCACCTCATACAGTCTGCTCTTAAATCCTTCCAGAGATTGTTTTATTTCTGTATTCTCCCTCACTACTTGCTCCTTTAGCTCTTACATATTTCTCCGCAGGTCCATCAACATGGTTATGACCTTTATTTTGAATTCTTTTTCAGGGATATTGGTAAAATCTATCTCCCCAGGCCCTCTCTTGGGGATTGTCTGGGTAATTCTGGACTGGACCAAATTCTTCTGCCTTTTCGTGGTGATAGAAGTAGCTGTAGGCAGGTAGCGCATCTGTCAGCTGGGAGAACAAAGTCCTCTCCTGTTTGCTGGTTGCCGTGCCCTTCTCTGCTGCCTGTGTTGGTTACCTGCACTCCTGGAGCAGCCTCCAGATTAATCCCCTAAGCTGCTGTGGGTGGGGTAACTGTCAGCATAGCGCAGAGCCCTGTGGGGAGTGGCAGGCCCACCGGGTGTGCTCTCCTGCGAGAGCGGCGCCCATTCCCACCTTGCCCCAGTTTCTTCTGCCTGCACCAGGCAACTGCACATTGGCAGCGGCCTTTGGATCTGGCCCAGGTGGGTGTGTGCTGGGAGGAGATTCTGGGCAGCTGCTAGGGGTGCAGCCACTCCTGGGCCACTCTGCCGCCCTGCCACAGGCTCGCTCAATAACATCCCTATTTTATAAAGAAAATATGGAGGCAGAGAGACATTATGTTGCCTGTTCTAAGATTGCACAGCCAGTGAGATTGTGAATCCAGGAAGTCTGGCTGCAGACTCTACACCTTTACCTGCACTATTATTGGCATTGTCCGAAGACAATTTTGCAGAAAACAAATATAATGCTCCACTGTATGTATGATATTGTGGACTGTTCTCTTGTTCTCAACAGTAACCAAGAGATGTTTAAATTCTCATCCTTGGATGTTACCCATGCTGCTTTGGTGAATAAATTCTGGCATTTTGGTGGAAATGAGAGGAGTCAGAGATTCGTGGAGCGCTGTATCCAGACCTTCCCCACCACATGCCTGCTGGGGCCCGAGGGGACCCCTGTGTCCTGGGCCCTGATGGATTACACAGGAGAGATGCGCATGGGGGCCACCTTGCCTGAGTACCGGTGCCAGGGCCTCATCTATCATATAATGTGTAATCACGCCCAGAATCTGGACAAACTCAGCTTCCCCCTATATAATCATACAGACAGAGCCAACAAAACCATACAGAAGATGAGTCGCATTCTGCATCATACTATCCTACCCTGTGACTGGAACCAGTGGCACTGTGTGCCTCTGTGAGGCAACTGTCCATACAAGACAGCATTGGGCCGGCTGGTCGTGGAGCAGGAGAAGAGGATGGGTGGACAGAGAGAAATAATAAATTATAATCAGCAGTAAACTAGTGTGTGTTATTTGGACCTGAGAATCAGTGTGAATGGTCAACAGAAATCATAGTCTCTGCCCTCAAATCGCTCATGGACTTCTTTGGGTCCAGAAGACCTGGTGTGGCCAGACTTTCCTATCATGGACCTTGGGCTTGTTCAGTTTCCTACATTTCAGGATTTCAACGATACTCTTTATTTAGTTGCATGCTGCCCTAATGCTTCTCCAGGAACTCTTGTCTCACATGGACTTATATAGATAGTTTTATTAAGACATGGTATTACCTCATGGACAGTATAGTTTCCATTCTCTCTTTCTATTACCCTCCCCTTCCAGCTTTATTAAGGTATAATTGACACATAAAATTGTAATATACTTAAAGTATACAATGAAATAATTTGATATATGTATATATTGTGAGAGGATTCCCACAATCAAGTTAATCAATACATCCATCATCTCACATACTTAGCTTTTTTTGTCTCTTTTCTTTTTTGTGAGAACACATTAAGATCTACTTTCTTGGCAAATTTCAGTGATAAATACAGTATTACCAACTACAGTCATCATGCTACAGATTAGATCCTTGGAACTTTTTCATCTTACAAATCACAGTCTGTACCCTTTTACCAGCCTTTCCCTATTTCCTCCACATCCCTGCCCCAGCAACTGCCACTATACTGTTTCTATTAGTTTGACCTTTTCAAAAAAAGATTCCATATGTAAGTGATACCATTACAGTATTATAGGTTTATTGAGAAAACCGAATGAGTGAGAAAATGCACATAAACAACTTGGAGAAATGTCTGACACTTATTAGGCACTCCCAAAACGTTAGTGGTGATTTTTGTTATTGAGGATATCGTTAATGAACTCATGTAACATAGACATGGTTATCAGAGAAGACAGACAATGGGCATGTGCTTGTGGCAGACAACAGTATAATTCTCGAAGCTGACACATCAAGGAAGCAGCAAGCTGACCTAGATTCTGCTGATCTAAGATTGCACTATCAGGTGACATCTCTGATCTTCATCACACTAGAACTTTCTGAATACTGAAAACATAAACATAGAGATAATTATATTAGCTGTTCATTTTTATGTGAAAATGGCTCTATTTTACCTAAATTTTTGAAGAATATTTTATTTGGATATAGGATTATATAATTTTTTTCCCTGAAGCACTTTTACAATGTTATTCCAATGCATTCTAATGTAGCCTTGAGAAGCCAAACATAATTTTTACGCTTGCTCCCTGTATGAAATGTGTTTTGTCTCTGACTGCTCTGTGCCACCTTTAAAATTTTTATTCACTTATTTATATTTATTGTAGCAAAGAAGATGAGATCTTAATATACATTTACTTGTATAGTACAGCATTGTTCTCTATAAGCACAATAGTGTAGAGCAGATATCTGGAGCTTTTTCATCTTTCATAACAGATACTCAACATCCATTTCATGGCAACTTATTATTTTTTCCACCCCCACCCACTCCTGTTAACCACCACTCTACTTTCTGCATCAGTGAGTTTGATTACATTAGCTACATCATGTAAGTGAGCTCATGGGGTTAGATGTTTGTCCTTCTGTAGTTAATTTAACTTACCATAATGTCCTCTAGTTTTATCTACATTGTCATATACTGCAGGATTTCCTTCTTTTTAAAGGATGAGTTAAATTCCACTGTGTATATCGACCACATTTTCTTTATACATTCATCTGTCAGTGGACATTTAGGTTGGTTCCACATCTTGGCTGCTGTGAATAACGCTTCAGTGAACATGGGAGTACAGATAGCTATTCCTGTTTCAATTCTTTTGTTTATATACCCAGAAATGGAATTGCTGGATAATATGGTATTCTGACTTTAATTTTTTGAGGAATTGTCATGCTGTTTTTCATAGCATATATGAAATATATATACTATGTAGTATGATATATATAAAGTTACACTTACTAATATTAATGACCTAGATAAGGTCAGCCTATAACTAGATATTCCAACCTATTGCTACTAGAACCAATTTAGAGAATTATGGATCTGATAACTGTAAAAATCCAATTAATGCCCATCCCTGTAATAGATGCTTCTAAAATGAGTTTTTATCAAAAAACATTCTAATAAAAAATTGTCTTACAATAACTATAGATAAACATCTAGGATAGGGTTGCCACAACTCTACTTACGTAAGTACCATTAAGCCACCTGATCACATGCATCAGTTCCATCTCAAGAGATACCTCCTTTTGTCAGTCTTCCACGATATTTTCTTTTTAGAAAAACTATAAGTCAAATAACAATGAGACTCAAGGTTTGAAACCATGAGTAAGTCCTTAAAAAATGAAAAGAAGTTCAACATTTTACATATAGAAAAAACTGAGATTGGAATAATGGTATTTAGACTAATCTTATCAACAATGTGCCTTTTGTAAGCAACATGTAAGTGAGTTAATGTCCTTGTACTGGAAAAGGAGGTACAAATATTCTTGGGATATAACTGAGACTGTTTTTCATGTTCAAACCCAGAGGAAATAAACTTTCAACTCCACTGAAGTTGATCATGCTCTTGGGGAATGTCTGGCTCTTCTCTGCCAATCAAAGATAAGGATTACTTGTCCTCTGGAGATCTCAGACCATTCCAAGTATTTGACTGCCCAATATTATTAGTGGGCTATTTCTCCTTACATGGAATTGAATTTGAAATGAGAAAACCTTCTGAGGTTACACACTACAAGTGGCAAAATGGACTCAACAATTGGTGATTGTGCTCATAGGAGACGGACGCATAGGATGGTCATGTTATATTTATGCTTCAATTTAGCTGACAAAAAGAAGAACTCAGACCCTAACTCCTGCTACCTTCCAAAAGAAGCAGCTAAAATTTTATAGTCCATTTGATTATAAGTAATGGAACAGCCTTGAACTTTTTTTTGCCAACCATTGTTCACCTTTCACGTAGTTTCTAGGTTAATACCAAAAGTAAGATGAAACAACACATACCTAAATTCAGAAAAGATAACCTCACTTCTGTTGCTCCCTACAATTTACAAAGCTGGAAAGAGCACTGCTCCCACCCTAATGATAAAACCACAATCATAATTGTTTTAGAACTTATTAGGGATCTAAGGGCACAGGATAATCAAGTAACCTGAATGCCAAGAAAGGATAGCCCTTCTGAGACAAGAAAGGACACCCAGACTGTTTAACCTGTGGCAGAGCGCAGGAAGAGTAAGATGGCTTTCATACAAGAAGAAATCAGTTAAAATTTTATCAAGTGGCTGAAGGCTGACTGTGAGCTGGTTTGACAACACAGAACCCCTGGGAGCCCCAGATACAAGAGTTGCACCTGACGCACACATTCATCTCCCTGGGCCTTCTCCACCTGCTAACATTAAGGACTGGGGACAGGAGGAACACCAGAAAGTTTCTCCCTTGGTTTTGCAGAGAATAGTCTTTAAGGGAAAGGCAGGAAACCTAGTCCCCGTCTGGACTCTCTTCTCCTGTGGAGCAAAACCCTTAAGCTTCTGGGAGAGAGGCAACAAAGCCTGCCAGCCTTCAGGCACAGTGGAGACCCTTTGCTGCCAGAGAACAGTGAAATAAATAAAATCGTTTTCTCCTGGAGAGGGACAGGAACTTGTCCTGAGCCCGGGATCCTACTCCAACCTTAATAAATGTATACAACCACTTCCATGCAACTCCTGCCACAGAGACTCTGCTGAGGCTGGCTGCCTTGGGGCGGAGAGAGATGCTGAGAAAGCCCCTCTCAGGCATGCAGGTCCTGCCTATGACTGAGGCCAAGCCAGGACAAGAGAGAACTTGCCCTGCTCCCACACCATCAGCCTGAAAAGCATAAAGTAACAGCTTTTCCTTTCAGATGCTAAGTAAGGCCCTCTCTTCCACATGTGTTGAAAGAAATCTTGCCATTTGCAATAACATGATGGACCTGGAGGGTATTATGCTCCGTGAAATAAGCCTGTAGAAGAAAGACAAATACCATAGGATTTCACTTACATGTTGAACCTAAAAAGCAAAACAAATAAACAAACAAACGAAACAAACAGACTCAAATGCAGAGAACAGACGGGAGGTTGCCACAGGGGAGAGAGGTGGGAGGGTTGGCCAAATAGGTGAAGGGGATACAGAGGTACAAACTTCCAATGATAAAATTAATTAGTCATGGGTATGAAAGTACAGCCCAGAGAATACAGTCGGTAATGTTATATCTTTGTATGGTGAGAGATGTAACTACACTGACTGTGGTAAACACTTAGTAATGTATATAAATGTTGAATCACCATGTTATACCTGAAACTATTATACTGTTTATCAACGACCTTGCAATAAAAATAATGCATAAAAAAAGAAAGGACACAGACTGTCTCACCTGTGGCAGAGCCCAGGAAGAACTTAATTCTTCCTCAAAACCCCTGCACAGTAAGTACTATTATTTTTTTATTCCCCTTTCTAGATATGGAAACAGTCAGGGAAAGTGAAATAATAAGTCCAAGGCACAGTCAGGATCTCAGCTGGCACTCCGGCCCCCCGCCCTCCCTCTGAGCCCCAGAGGCATGCTGCACACTGTCAGCGCCTCCTCCCAGGACCCAGGGGGAATGCTGACCCCAGCGCTACTCAACTTGTTCTCTTAGATCTGGTCCCAAAGCATGTGAGAAGATTGATGCTTATCTCATACAATACAGCAAAAATAATGACCACAGAGTCAAGGAAGTGCAGGAAACATCCTTGGTTACCTGGTATGACAACAGTCTTTAGACAGCAGGGCGAACAACTCAGAGAAGTTAAGAGAGTAGGTGAAGGTAACAAGGGTGGTAGGGACCCTGGAATCTTCTGACTGAGGAATGTGAGGGCTGAAAGGGACAAGCTAGGGGTCTGGTTTCTGGGGCTAGGGACAGGACTTCCAATCAGCCTTTGTGAGATATGGACCCTGCTCGGACTACGGGGTCCACTCTGCTGATAGTGACAGAACAGCTTCAATAGCCTGTGGCCTCAGAGAAAAAGTAATGAATGATTATAATGACTTCAACCCCAGGAGATCAGACTGAGAATCAATATTCTAGGAAGGACAAAACCCTAGAGAGGACAGAGAAAAATGTGTGCAGATTTGTGCTGCACTCGCTGGTCCATGGACTGGAAGCACACAGGCTTTTTTGACTTTCTATCTAGACACTAGACACTCCTGTCCCTGTTCCTCTGATGAGACTGACTCTTCTCCCCTTCATGATGAAGCTATCCACTCACTTGGCATACAAAGGCATGGGTGACGAGGACAAGGACCCAGATGGCATCACTTTCCTCCTTGGCTGTTTCACACCAAGGAGTTAGGAATTGAAATATCTTTCCTATGGATCCTCCTTTCTTTTCTGAAGATGGCTGGGCAAGTGTTAATACGGAGTAGCAGGCACTTTGGAGTGAAAGGTACTGGGTTTAAATTCTATCTGTTCAAAGCAACGTAAGTGGCCATCAATAGATGAATGGATAAAGAAGACGTGGTACATATACACAATGAAATATTATTCAGCCATAAAAGGAAAAGAAATCCTGCCATTTGCAACAGCATGGGTGGATCTAGAGGGTATTATGCTCGGTGAAATTAAGCCAGGCAGAGGAAGACAAATACCATATAATTTCACTTTTTGTGGAAAAGCAAAAGAGAAGGAACCAAACAGCAGTCTCACAGGCACTGAGACGTGACTGGAGGTTACCAAGGGGGAGGGGAGGGGGACTGCTGAACCACTGTGATGTACATTTAATAACAACAACAAAAACATTCTATCCGTTCAGCCACACGGAGCCAGTTTCCTTCTCTATTAAAGAGATGCTTTGAATCATTGTCAGGTATTTAACTGCAGCCTCAGAATGGGCAGGGGAGAGGGAACAGCTCATCCTAAAACAGGAGGACCCTAACAGCTTTAGTGACTCCACACAAATAATTTATTTTGTGCATATGTGTGAGAAAAGAGATCAGACTCTGCAAATCAGACCGCATCCCCATCTGTTAAGCCTTGGTCTTATCGTAGGTACCGGAGAATGGGAAGTGGAGGAAGAAGGTATTGCTTGCACAGTGTGATCCACTTTTCAGGGACCGCCTCTTGGTTTCACGCAGCTCTGCTTTGCAGAGAGACAGAAGGACCTGTTGGAGGAAAGAGCAGCATTGTATTTCATAAAGAGAAGCGGAGAGGGCACACTGCCTCCCAATCCTGCTGATTCAGCTCCGCCAGCATAAGACCCAGAGAAAAAGGGCTGGATTTCACAAAAGCTGATGCCAAGAATTGTTTGCTGTAGTACAAGATCCACAGTACAAGCCTCCGCTCAGCAATTTCTGGAAGAGACATACCTAAACACACTCTGCAAGCCCAGCTGAACTGACTGTATCGAAGGGAAACTTCACCACCTAGAAGTCTATTCCTCTTCATTTGTTCCTGGGAACACCTGCAGAGATTGGTGTGGAGACAGCTTTCCAGGTGAGGACTTGTGCCAAAAACATTTAAAAAGATAACCATTCCTTAATGATATCCTCTCCACTCAAGTGAGGCAAATCAAAATGCTCATATTGTGTTATGCTCAGAATATAATAGTAAACATATCAATGGAAAATGAATAAACTTAAGCTAAGAAACATATACAGTTGACCCTTGAAAAACCTGGGGAGGTAAGGGGTGCTGACCACCCATGCAGTCAGAAATCTGGACATAACTTTTGACTCCCCAAAATCTTAATTCCTAATAGCCTACCATTGACCAGAAGTTTTATGAATAACATAAATAGTTGGTTAATATGTATTTGATATGTTATATATATATATACTGTATTCTTACCATAAAGTAAGCTAGAGAAAAGAAATGATTTTTGAAATTGTTGCAATCCTCCAAAAAATGTTTCAATATATTTATTGAAAAAAATTCACGTATTAAATGGACCTACACCTTTCAAACCAGTGTTGCTGAAGGGTCAACTATATCCGGCATCTACTCTGCAAGTAGCAACTTGTTAGGTGCTATGAAAAACTCTTACAAGTTTCTGATCTGAACTAGTAAATGAACTAGGAAAGACCTGGGCACTTGGTGGTGAATGGACCGCTGAATGTCTAGAGACCGTCATTACTGTATTTAATCCTTCTGGTTATATTACAAGGTAGTCAGGTTTTTTCTCTAAATGACTGATAAGAAGATCTGTACCTAAAGTCAGAGAGGAAATAAGTCAATGAGTAAGGACAAAAATACAGACCAGATTTATTGTTTATTCAAATCACATAATAAGCAAATTTAGTTTAAAGATTTTACGATACTGTTACTACCAAGATCTTATTTTTTTGTCTGTGTTCTCTCTTAAACTTATATGCATATACATGGTATGTACATTGCTTTATCTCCTACATTTTCTCACTTTAACACACTATCATGTGTCCATATGTATAGGTAGTACATTAATGTCTGAGAGCTGCATTTCCCTGAAAGATCATATTTTATATTACTTTTGCCTATTGCTGGATATTGGGATTTTGTTCAGTCCTTGGATTATGTTTGCGTGGCTTTACCAAACTCTGTTTACAGCTTTTTTCTTTTTTGAATTGTTTTCTTTGGATTAATTTCTGTGACTGGAATGACTGGGCCAAAGGTTCTGAAGTTCACTGTCAAGGACGTTGGTCCAGTTCCGTGAGCTCACAGTAAGCGTGTCAGATCTCCTGAAGAATCTCTGTCCCTGCCATTTTCAGGCTGCCCTGTTTTTGGGCACCATGCTTGTCTATTAGCACGTGTGTACAGTCTTGGAGGGTGGTTCCGAACTCTACACTTTTCAGGAAACACAAATTTGACACCACAGATTCGACATCAAACTCTACAGTGCATCTTATACTTGTGTAACTTCCTTGTGAATTACCTCTAGATAAAAGAGAAGATTAGCCTTCAGAAATGTTCTATTTTTATAGTCCTGAGACCCTCAGATGTTAAGACAAGGATGCCTCTACTCTGGTCTGGACTTTTCTTCAAGACGTAACTTAGGGCAAAGTACTGAAAACCGTCCCCATGTCCAGCTTATATTATGTACTCAATACATATATGATGATTGAAAGAAGGAATGAGCTAACGAATCTATGCCTTTGGAAGGTGGAGTGACTAGACAGAGATTAATACAAGCATTTCATGCCTTTACTCATTCACTATTCATTTATTGAAGGAACACAATGTGCCAGAAATCAGTGATAGTCATAACGGATAGGATAATAAATACGATGAACTCCTTGCCCCAGAGGAGTTTACAGTCTACGAAAGTAAGAAGAATGAAACTAGGGAATTCCAACCAGAGGATAAAATGCAGAAAGGCCAGAGTGCTAAAGCAGACTCTGTACTGAAGAAATGTCCTGTCATCTTATGTGGTGGGGAGTAGTGACAGAAGAGTCTAGGAAGATAAATCACAGCCAGGTGGTAAAGAAGATGACATTTATATTTCCCAAGTGAATCTTTAATAAGCTCAGCAGCAATGGTCAAGGCAGGCCACAGCCTCCCTCCTCTGGCCAAGTCCCTCCTCCTCACATCATGAAGGAGATTCAAGGGGAAATTAAGCAGCTGTTTTTTTATTTACCCCTCAACAGATTGACAAGGATTGAGGAAGGAGACAGAGGACACACACATGGGAAAATTAGGAACATTCACCAGTCCATCCATTGCTCAACGTGTTGAACAGCAGGACCCCAAAACATAGCGAAATCTTTGTAACCTAGAAAAGTCTTCCCACAGAAACAAACCAACACTGGTTCCACTTCTGCAAATCCAAACCTTTCACGACCATCCTGACATACTGCAGTCCGGAGGAGTCAAGCGGAAAAGCAGGTCCTGAGTCACGGCAAGTCTAAGTGGACAAAGAACAATATGGTAGGAACCGATGCCTCAGAGCTAAACACTTAAGTTTGTCAATAACTTCTAGGCAAAGACCAAGTGGAACATACCTGTAACCCAACAAGTTTGGTTTATTGCCTGTCACCACAAGAGAGAGAGCACATCATGGAGAAATGTGATGCCTCTCAGTACGAGTGTGTCATGTGGGGCTTGGCAGGTGATTTGGGAAAGCATGGGTTTGCTGTGGCTTGGATCCTCTCACGAAGCTTTGCAAGTCTATTTAATATTTCTTTCCATGAAGCAGGAGGGCAACAGTAATATAGTAGCAGCCATTTGTTACCTGGAGAGAGGGGTGTTTGGCCACATTTGCTGATAAAATCTTTGATGTTACTACTGTTAATTCTTTTGGGATGCCACAAACTGCGCCCATATAAGACAATGAACCTAATAAACGTTGTGTGTGTTCTGACTGCTCTCCCAACTGGCCATTCCCCCATCTCCCTCCCTCTCTACAATAGTCCTCCCTATTCCCTGAAACACAATATTGATTGTAGGCCAATTATTAACACTGCAATGGCTTCTAAGAGTTCCAATGAAGAGTCACATGTCTCCCACTTTCAGAAAAAAGCTAGAAATAATTAAGCTTAGTTAGGAAGGCATGTCGAAAGCTGAGGTGGCCAAAGTTTTGGCCTCTTGTGCCAACAGTCAGCCAAGTGTGAATGCAAAGGAAAAGTTCTGGAAGGAAATGAAAAGGGCTGCTCCAGTGGACACGCCAATGATAAGAAAGTAAAACAGTCTTATTGCTGAGATGGAGAAAGTTTTATTGGTCTGAGTGGAAAATCAAACTAGCCACAACATTCCCTTAATCCAAAACCTAATCCAGAGCAAGGCCCTAACTCTCCTCAATTCTGTGAAGGCTGAGAGAGGTGAGGAAGTTGCAGAAGAGAAGTTCGAAGCTGGAAGACGCTGGTTTGCAAGGTATAAGGAGAGAAGCCATCTCCACAATATAAAAGTACAAGGTGGAGCAGCAAGTGCTGATGCAGAAGTTGCGGCAAGTTATCCGGATCTAGCTAAGGTCATGAATGAAGGTGGGCACACTAAACAACAGATTTTCAATGTAGACAAAACAGCCTTATACTGAAAGAAGACACCATCTAGGATTTTAATAACTAGAATGGAGATGCCTTCAAAGCTGATGAATGGCTTCAGAGTTTCAAAGAGCAAGCTGACTCTCCTGTTAGAAGCTCATGCAGCTGCTGACTTACCATTGAGTAAATAACCAATAGGTTATTTAATGTTCTGCAAATCCAAGGGTTCTTAAGAGTTTTGCCAATCCTACTCTGCTGAGCTCTATAAAATGGAGCAACAAAGCCTGGATGAACAACACATCTGCTTGACAGGAAATATGGTTTCCTGAGTATTGGAAGCCCACTGTTGAGACCTACTACTAAGAAAAAAAGATACTTTTCAAAATATTACTGCTCATTCACAGTGGACCTGGTCACCCAAGAGCTCTGACGGGGATGGACAAGGCTAATGTTCTTTCCATGCCTGCAAACACAACATTCACTCTGCAGGCCATGGATTAAGAAGTCATTCTGACCTATAGAAAGATTTTCACCTACTGCTTTCAGGTGATTCTTTCCTATGATAAAGTCCAAGGCAGTTTCCCCTTACACAGATCAGTGACTAACCAAAGACTGGGAAATGGCTCTTCCCTGATCTCCAGCTCTCTCTCTCTCTCTCTCTGAAACTCCACCCTGCCTCCCCCAACTCCAGTCTTGGCTTAAGTCAGTCAGGCCCCTGTGCTTTGACCAGAGTCCACTTCCCTGAGCTGCAGCCACCAAACAGCAAGCTGATGCAGTCCCAAGGCTCACGGTTTCTGTCTTGCTTTCCTCAGGGACCACAGTTCCGTGCTGCCTGATGTCCAAACATATGGAAGTGTTGTTTCATCTGCATTCTTTAGTTTTGTCATTTTTTTTTAAGGTAGAGAGGTAAATCCAGATCCGGGGACCATCTCTTGGCCAGAACTTGCCCTTCTACATTCACAAAGCCACCCGGCTCTGGCCCGGAGCATGACATCTCACACACGGCCGGAGTTAATGCAACATCCTCTCAGCACACTTCTTGGGTGCCTCTGCTTAGAAGTAACTTTGTACTCCTCCAAAGATCACCTGAAATAGGGTACTGTGACACTCTCTTCTCTTCCTTTTTAACGTAGCTAAGATTTTATGGAATGTGTTGGTAATCCCAATTTTATGAAATGAGTCAAACACATAAAAATGCCTCTTTAGTACTACCACCTGGTAATGTGAACAATACACATCACAGATCCAAGAGGGAGGCTTGGAGATGGAGGGAGGCTCAAAAATAGGGTAAGGCTCAGTAATAGGGTGAGAGGAGCAGCTTGACTATAACTTGGCAATTAAAAAAATAGTTATTTACAGTTGAGACCCTGTCAACATGCCCTGTGTTTAAAAAAAGACTGTATCAAAATATCATGCAATATGCAGCACTTTAACTCAAGCGGGGAGCAGGGGGGAATAGGAGAGGGTAAGGGAGGAGAGAGAAGGAGGAAAGGAAGTAGCAACAAAATATTTTGCTTACTACATGGCAGGCTCTTCTAAGCATCTGGTTACTCATTTAATCCTCACAAAACCTCTACAAGTTGCACAGTGCTATTATCCCATCTACCTCTGAGGAACCCAAGGCCCAGAGTGGCTGAGTTCCTTTTCTGAGGTTACGTGGATTATTACTGGGGGACTCAGAAGAATCACTGATAGCAACTAAATTCCAAAAGATGGTATATATATATTTTAAACACGTTAGTTAACCTAAAGTGAAAATAACAGCCAGAATTCCTCGAAGTGTAAGGAAGTGAATTAAAGTGTTCAGAAAGTGCCCCCTGTGCGTTCTGCCAGTCCCATCCTTCCTTGGAGCTCGTGAAGACGTAAGTGAAGGCCACAAGGAGGAGACACTGAAGAGGGACCCGGTCATTGGCATAGAAATTGCTACTCCTGCTTCCGAGACACCTCCAGGTCTTCTCATTCCTACCTTTTTCTTGGTTCCCTCTCCAGGCTAGGCTATCTTCCACGATGTTTGCAGTGCACAGTGCCCAGATGCTTCAGACGCTGGGGAAATCCTTGAGGACAAGCCTCCCTGAATCCTTAAAGGTACCGATCAAAACTTTTGAGGAGAGTGACAGAAACGTTCTTTCTGTGCCAGGCACTACTGCATGTTTTCTCTCACTTGATTTGCATGACCTCTCTGCAAGATATGTGCTATTATGTCCATGTCACTAATGAGAAGATGAAGGTTCAGTTAAGCAATTTGCCCAGCATTATATAAATAGTGAGTTGCAATGCTATTAGTGGCATGAAGACAGGAATGCCTGAGACCTTACACTGCCCTGTGCTCTGGGCTCTGTGATTCAAAAAGCATTCGCTTGCCCTTTTCAAAGAAACCTTCCACAATAGCACTGGAAATCTGCCGAGTTCTCCTCCAAAGTTGGTTGAGATTACCTGCTAATGCTTAACTTGTCCTCCCTAAAAGAACACTTGCCAGATGAGAGGTTAACCATCGTGAGGCTTCTTTGACATTAATAATAATGTAAGTCAATTCCTATTTTGACTTAAATTATCTCCCTTAACACAGTGCGACTGATCATCAATCTCAGGGTTAATTAACACATACACATAAATACCTACATCCAGAACTGCACAAGTGCAACTCTAATGACAGGCTCAGGTCTTTGCTTGTGTTTTTCTTAAGCACCCAACAAAATAAGGTGTGATTATAATTATAATCCTGTGAGTGTGTGTGTGATATATGTATGTGTGTGTGTGTACTTAGAAGAAAATTGTTAGTCCCTGAAACTTTTTTTGTAGAAATAGAAACTAAATTTCTACTCTTTTATAAGACACTCCTATGAGATGCATTCATTTCAGATAAGATAAATGCATTCACCACCCTCCATCCCTAATAGATTGGTTAATGCCTTACTTGCAGTTACAAAGGAGAAAAATATGAGTATTTTATTTGTGGATCACATGGCATCACTTTCTTTTTTTTTATTAAGGTATTATTGATATATACTCTTATGAAGGTTTCACATGAAAAAACAATGTGGTTACTACCTTTACCCATATTGTTATGTTCCCCCCAATACCTCATTCCAGTCACTGCCCATCAGCACAGAAAGATGCCATACACTATTTGCCTTCTCTGTGCTACACTGTCCTCCCCATGAACCCCCCAACACCATGTGTGCCAGTCATAATACCCTTCAGTGCCCTTCTCCCTCCCAACCACCCCCACCCCTCCCCTTTGGTAACCGCTAGTCCTTTCTTGGTGTCTGTGAGCCTGTTGCTGTTTTGTTCCTTCAGTTTTGCTTCATTGTTATGCTCCACAAATGAGGGAAATCATTTGGTATTTGTCTTTCTCCACCTGGCTTATTTCACTGAGCATAATATTGTACACCTCCATCCATGTTGTTGAAATGGTAGGATTTATTTCTTTCTTATGGCTGAATAATATTCCGTTGTGTATATGTACCACCTGTTCTTTATCCATTCATCTACTGATGGACACTTAGGTAGCTTCCATATCTTGGCTATTGTAAATAGTGCTGCAATAAACATAGGGGTGTATATGTCTTTTTGAATCTGAGAAATTATATTCTTTGGGTAAATTCCTAGGACTGGAATTCCTGGGTCAAATGGTACTTCTATTTTTAGTTTTTGGAGGAACCTCGATACTGCTTTCTACAATGGTTGAACTAGCTTACATTACCACCAGAGGTGTACTAGGGTTTCCCTTTCTCTACATCCTCGCCAGCATTTGTTGTTCTTAGTCTGTTCAATACTGGACATCCTAGCTGGTGTGTGGTGATATCTCATTGTGGTTTTTATTTGCATTTCCCTGATAACTAGTGATGTGGAGCATCTTTTCATGTGTTTGTTGGCCATCTGAATTTCTTCTTTGGAGAATTGTCTCTTCATATCTTCTGCCCAATTTTTAATCAGGTTATTTGCTTTTTGGTTGTTGAGGCATATGAGTTCTTTATGTATTTTGGATGTTAACCCCTTGTCAGATACATTGTTTACAAATATATTCTCCCACTGTACGATACCTTTTTGTTCTGTTGATGGTGTCCTTTGCTCTACAGAAACTTTATAGTTTGATGTTGTCCCATGTATTCATTTTTGCTTTTGTTTCCCTTGCTCAAGGAGATGCATTCAGGAAAAAGTTGCTCATGTTTATATTCAAGAGATTTTGCATATGTTGTCTTCTAAGAGTTTTACACTTTTATGAATTACATTCAGATCTTTGATACATTTTGAGTTTACTTTTGTGGATGGGGAGAGATATAATTCAGTTTCATTCTCTTGCATGTAGCTGTCCAGTTTTGCCAAAACATGTTGTTGAAGAGGCTGTCATTTCCCCATTGTATATCCATGGCTCCTTTATCGTATATTAATTGACCATATATGCTTGGATTTATATCTGGACTCTCTAATCTGTACCTTTGGTCTATGGGTCTGTTCTTGTGCAAGTACAAAATTGTCTTGATTACTGTGGCTTTGTAGTAGTTCATATGGGACTGTTGTTCTTTCCTGAGGTAGGCCTATATTGCAATATACTTCCCTCTTAGCACAGCCTTCACTGCATTCCACAGATTTTTGTGGTGTGGAATTATTGTTGTCATTTGTCTCCATATATTGCTTGATCTCTGTTTTTATTTGGTCATTGATCCACTGGTTATTTAGGAGCATGTTGTTAAGACTCCTTGTGTTTGTGGGGTTTTTCATTTTCTTTGTGTAATTTATTTCTAGTTTCATACCTTTGTGGTCTGAGAAGCTGGCTAGTATAATTACAATATTTTTGAATTTACTGAGGCTCTTTTTGTGGCCTAGTATATGATATATTCTTGAAAATGTTCCATGTGCACTTGAGAAGAATGTGTATCCTGCTGCTTTTGGGTGGAGAGTTCTATAGATGTCTGTTAGGTCCATCTGTTCTAGTATGTTGTTCAGTGCCTCTGTCTCCTTATTTATTTTCTGTCTGGTTGATCTGTCCTTTGGAGTGAGTGGAGTGTTGAAGTTTCCTAGAATGAATGCATTGCATTGTATTTCCCCTTGTAATTCAGTTGATATTTGTTTCACATATGTAGGTGTTCCTGTGTTGGGTACACAGATATTTATAATGGTTATATCCTCTTGCTGGATTGACCCATTATCATTATGTAATGTCCTTCTTTGCCTCTTATGAATTTCTTTGTTTTAAAGTCTATTTTGTTTGATACAAGTACTGCAACTCCTGCTTTTTTCTCTCTATTAGTTGCATGAAATATCTTTTTCCATCCCTTCACTTTTTGTCTGTGTATGTCTTTGGGTTTGAAGTGAGACTCTTGTAGTCAGTATATACTTGAGTCTTGTTTTTTTATCCATTCAGTGACTCTACGTCTTTTGATTGGTGCATTCAGACCATTTACATTTAGGGTGATTATCAATAGGTATGTAGTTACTGCCATTGCAGGCTTTAGATTCATGGTTACCAAAGGTTCAAGGGTTACTTCCTTACTATCTAAGAGTCTAAATTAACTCACTTAGTATGCTATTAAGAACACAATCTAAAGATTCTTTTCTCTCTCTTCCTCCTCCATTCTTTATGTATTAGGTATCATATTCTGTATTCTTTGCCTATCCCTTGACTGACTTTAGGGGTAGTTGATTTAATTTTCATTTGCTTAGTAATTAACTGTTCTACTTTCTCTACTGTGGTTTTATTACCTCTGGTAATAAACACCACAAAAAAACAAATTACAGACCAATATTCCTGATGAATATAGATGCAAAAATACTCAACAAAGTATTAGCAAACTGAATTCAAAAATACATAAAAAAGATCATCCATCATGATCAGGTAGGATTTATTCCAGGGATGCAAGGATGGTACAATATTAGAAAATCCATCAACATCATCCACCTCATCAACAAAAAGAAGGGAGAAAAACCACATGATCATCTCTACCAGCTATTTACCCTTAGGAACACTTCCATCTATAGCTGTCCCTCCAAAATACACTCTAGAAATGGTTTGTGGGAGGTAAATTCTCTTGGTTTTTGCTTATCTGGAAATTTTTTAATCCCTCTTTCAAATTTAAATGACAATCTTGTGAGATAAAGTATTCTTGGTTTGAGGCCCTTCTGCTTCATTCCATTAAATATGTCATGCCACTCCCTTCTGGCCTGTAAGGTTTCTGCTCAGAAGTCTGATGATAGCCTCATGGGCTTTCCTTTGTATGTGATCCTTTTTATCTCTCTGGCTGCTTTTAATAGTCTGTCCTTATCCTTGATATTTGTCATTTTAATTACTATATGTCTTGGTGTTGTCTTCCTTGGGTCCCTTGTGTTGGGAGATCTCTGTACCTCCATGGCCTGAGAGACTATCTCCTTCTCCAGATTGGGGAAGTTTTCAGCAATTACTTCCTCAAAGACACTTTCTATCCTTTTTCCCTCTCTTCTTCTTCTGCTACTCCCATAATATGAATATTGTTCCATTTGGGTTGGTCACACCTTTCACAATATTCTTTCATTCTTAGAGATCCTTTTTTCTCTCTGTGCATCAGCTTCTTTATATTCCTCTTCTCTAATTTCTATTTCATTTATTGTCTCCTCCACCATATGTAATCTGCTTTTAAAACCCTCCTTTGTGTTCCTCAACAATTGGATTTCCATCCTAAATTCATTCCTGAGTTCTTGAATATTTTTCTGTACCTCCATGAGCATGGTTATGATTTTTATTTTGAACACTCTTTCAGGATGATTGATTAGTTCAGTCTCACTCGATCCTTTTTCTGGTGTTTGTGAGATTTTGCTTTGAACCAGGTCCCTTTGACATTTCATATTTGTATGTGATGCCCCCTAGTGCCCAGAAGCTCTACTCTCTGGAGCTGCCCAGTCCCTGAAGCGATGTTGGGGGTTGCGTGGGAGAGATGCTGGTGCTTGGGGTGAGGAATGAGCTGTTTCCTGCTTCTTGGCCGCTATGCCTGTCTCCGCTGCCAGAACTAGTTGGCTGAACACATAGGTGCAAGCCTCTATGCTTTGCATTTGTAGTTGCTATGGACTGGCCTTCCCTGTGGATGGCCTGACACCTGGGCAGGTTTGCTGGTTTGCCAGCCAGGTGCAGACTGGCCTGGAGGAAGGTGCAGCAGGCTGCATATCACAGTGGGGTCCTTGAAGCTGCATAGCCAGCCAGAGGGATGGAGTGCCTGATGATCCTGTAAGTTCCCAACCTTCTGGGAAGAGTGCACCTGGACAATTTTGTCTACCTGTCCTTTCTCCTGAGTAGTAAGCTCTGTGCAATCCTTGTCCCTTTAGCAGCCCTCTTGCTTTTAGGAAGTCTCTGATTGCCCACCCAGAGCAGCCGGATATGGGTCCCTGTTTTCCACAAGCAGGTGGGGTGGAATCTCATTCTCTCTAGGTGTTCTGCCTGTCTTAGTTTTCCAATCCCACTAATCACCAGAGCACCATGCCATGTAGGTTTGTGCTCCCAGAGAAGATCTCCAGGGCTGTGTTCAGTAGTCCCAGGCCTCCACCCCCTCCCGACTCCATTTCTCTTCCTCCTGCTGGTTAGCTGGGGTGGGGGAAGGGCTTGGGTTCTGCCAGGTCACAGCTTTGGTATGTTACCCTGTTCCATGAGCTCTGTTCTTTCCTTCAGTTGTATGCAGTCTGGCCCAGTCTTCTTTCCTGTTTCTCTTTCAGGATTAGTTGTGTTAATTTTATTTTCATATTATATGTGGTTTTAGGAGGAGGTCTCTGTCTCACCTCTCATGCTGCCATCTTTAATCTCTTTTCACCATAACTTTTATTTATTTATAATAGATTAATGAAACAACTCACCTTGTTCTTTAATTGCTATAAAAAATTACTTCAAATAAACTAATCTGAAACTAAAGTCACCCACTTTGGTAGATTCTTGCTAACATTAATCTCTGTTACCTAATATTTAACTGCTTTTGCTTGATAATCTTTAAGATCCAGGCAACCTCTCAGAGAGATAGTCAATTTACTTTGGAGATTACATCAGTTAGACACCATATGGGCACTTGCTGAGGAGCTGTTTTTAAAAACTCTTCAAGCTACCATAGACAATATATTGGAATACATTTCTATGGTGACAGAAGCAACTACACATCCTGGTGAGCATTTACCAATGTATGCAGTTGTGTGGTCACTGCATTTTATATGTGAAACCAATATAATGTAAACTGTATTTCAATTAGACTATATTTCAATTTAAAAATAAAATAAAACTGTAATCCTAAGTGCAGAGAAAAAATTTTTTTCAAGCTTTTAAAGGTTTTCTTCCATGCTCTGTAGTGTAGAATTTTCTGACATAAATTTCTCTTTCCTGCTTGTATTAAGTGGACCCTAAACATTTTGAGAGAATTTGGTGCTTTCCAAGTGTTCTTTCTTGGAGCATCTCTGCAGTAAGATAAGGTGGCCCTCTGGGCTCTTCAACTTTCATGAAGGGTTAGAATTCTTCTGTTTGTTACATATTAAAAATATATATTTTCCCCTAATTGAAATCTAGAATATTTGTAGGCCAGGTTCTTTTAATGTAAGTATAACATAGAAATCAATACTCACTTGCGTCTCAAAAAATCCATCCATTCTTCTATGTGTTGGATGATAAATACATTTTATTATCTGTGTCAACTACAGTTGAGTCATTCTTGAGTAGCTGTCTTGCCTGTTCTGAGTTCAGCAGGAAAAAAAAGAGTTTTAGTGATTTAGGCCATGGGAATAAGAAAAAATAACAGCTCCACATTATTTTCAGATCTTGTAATGGATAAGAGCATAGAGCAAATCAAGTCCCAAATGAAAATGTGTAAAAAATTAACATCTATATTTTGCCAAACTACAGTGAATTTCTATATCAAGCCTCCACTCACGGCTGAAAACAGAATTCAGATAAACTCAATAAACCTAGAGAGATTTTTTTTCTTTCTCCCTGGTTTAGCATCGACTTGATGTTAGCATGCGGCAGGATGGAAAGATAGACATAGTCCTTGGTCATCATCTGTCAGTGGTGGAAATCATGAAAGTGTACACCATCTTTTTGACCTTTCATATCCAGTTTCCATGCTGGTATCCACTGCAGGATTCCCCAACCCCCAAACCACAGGGACATCTAATGTCCACAGGCTTACTCTCATTCATTCTCTCTCCCCTTCTTCCTCTTTCTTACAGCCTATACAACATGGTGGGGGTGGGGAATCCAAGACAGGATCCAGACTATGAGTCCCCTCAGCCCATTTTCTTGAGCACTATGCTGTAGCCTCTGCCTTTGGGTGGGAAGTTCACTGAACCTTTCCAGAAGGTAATGTGAACATATATGTTAAGGAGTTTTAAACATGTGTATAACCTTTGAACCAGAAATTACCCTTCTGAATATCCTAAGAAAGTTTCAGGTGCCCATGCAAAGATTTCTGTGCAGGCATGCTCTGTGAAGAATTATTTGTTAAACTGAAACACTGGAAACAGCTGAAATGACCATCAATAGGCAAACAAGTACATGAACTGTGGGACATCCACATAATGGAATATTATGCAGCCATTAGAAAATAAATGAGGAATCCTGTGTTTATGAACCTAGAAATATGCCCATAACATATTCAGCAGGGACAAACACCATGTACCAGATTAATTTATTTTTGTAAAATTGTATATCTCTTTGTGTATGAATAAAAGTCTGGAAAAAGATAACATTAAGTCCTAAAATAAAGAGAGGTGTTCTTAAAATCATCAATTTATTTGTTCTAATTTTCACTATATGCATGTATGCAATTCATATTGGATGGAGAGAAAAAGCTCTTCTTGTCTGAGGTTTAAAAAAATGTGTACGTGAAGATGGTTTGGCCTCAATGTCCTATTTGTCCCTTTCCCACCATAAAATTTCATTTCATAGAAATAATCCTTGTCCTGACCAAGCGAGGCTCTTTCCCATCCCTTCCTAACAATGACTCTCTCACTTTCTCTGGATGCTGCAGGTTTACGGGACCGTCTTCCACATGAACCAGGGAAACCCCTTCAAGGTAAAAGCCCTGGTAGACAAGTGGCCTGATTTCAATACAGTGGTTATCCGCCCTCAGGAGCAGGTAAGGTGTTTGAGGTAGAATGAACATGCTTCTGTGTTCTTACTTGCTGCGTGCCTATCATGCGCCTGAATGCGCTGTTCTTGCACTCAGTGTGAGGTGTGCAAGAACAGCAGATGTGTAACAGAAATAACACAGGCAAAAGCAGATTCAACTACAGAAGTGGGACATGGAGTTTGAAGGATCAGGTTAGAGATACTTCTTTGTGGTGGTTTCATATGAACTGGATTGTAGATAAATGTATTGCTTCTTAGGCTGACAGGGAAAAGGGGACTTTGCTAAGAGAAAATAGCAAGGGCAGAGATACGAAGGTCTGAAACAGGACACTGAATTAGGATGATTATAAAAAGCGGACTTACAATACTAGAATTTCTGTATACAACTTGGGGAAACACTTAAAAATTGGTGATGACTGGATCTATACTGTTGGAACTCAACCAAGATTAAGGAGAAGTGCAAGTTGCAGCGCTCCTAAATCTTGAGACTACAGACTTATCTACTGTTAAAAGAACATAAGGGATGTGAACAGTTCCCAGGAATGTGTTGTTTTAAATTGTCTGATTTTTCTCCAACTATTCAAATTCACTTAGACAATATCCATCATATCATAGATAAGTTTTCATAAATGCTTAGGGTGCCTAACTGGTTTTCTTGGTTTCACTGGAGATGGCTGGTAATTGTAGGTCTGCTTTGGTTATGTAGCTGTATTCCTATTATGTTAATGTGTGTGTGCAATTTAATTAGTAGTTTAAAACCTATACATGCTT